AGATGCGTCAAAGTAGATATTTTCCAGTGAATTGTAAATTTTTGCATTAAATATGAATTAAAATTCGAAATAGCCACTTTGTAATGACCCCTAATATTTCATTTGCAAAATTAACTGCAGCAGGTTTCTCTTCAGCTTGTTCAAAGTGTAAAGTAAGTGTAAAATAATTCAATAGTTGAATGTGGGCCTTTATATTATTAACATGAATGATGTACTTACTAGTAAAAAATTTAATATTTTTATTTTTTAGCTTTTCATTTGAGATAAGAATAAGTTGTTTTTAAAAAGTTAAAAGCAACTTATTCTTATCAACTTAAAGTTTTTAAAAGTTAAAAGCAAAGTTGCTTTTAAAAAGCTTCAAATTCAGTAATACCCAAGTGAAGATCGAAGTAGGTTTTTCGATTTCAAAGTGTGTCAAAACAGGAGTACAACTAATAAAAAGAAGCTTCAAACAAATATGGTCAGAATGTCAGCTAGAAAAGTAGAATACTGGTTTGTAACATTTTATGAAAGAGATCGACAGAGGTTTGAGGAACTGACAGCTATCATGCTCACTTTGACTATGAATAATTGAGATAACGTATTTTCTATGTAGTCAGAGGAAAGAATCATTCGACTTCTAGCAATGCAGGGAAATATATATAACCATCTTCACGCAATAAGTAAGAAAAAAAAAAAATAAATAAAAGCAACTATAACACACAGGGGCGTAGCTAGAGGGCGGCATCTGTCCCCGAGCGCAGAATCGAAGGGGCGCCAAACTGATGTTACGACATTTTAGAATTAAATGTTTTCCATCCTTGGCAAGCAGTAGGGGGCGCGAAATCTTCAGTTGCCCCTGGGCGCTGAAAACCCTAGCTACGACTCTGATAACACATAGTGATCTGTAATCCTTTTCTAACGCAGTATGGGGAAGAGAGGGCATTGATGACATTTTCATTTATGGCATAAAAAAGGATGTAATTTTGTTTATTTATCAAGGAGAAATGTTTTACAATTTTATCATTGATCTTATTTAAATACAAATACAGGATGTCCATAAATTATTCACCCAATAAAGATATCTTTTAAGTAATACAGAATAAGAGATACGGGAAAAAGAATGACTGAATTTTACTTAGCATTTCAAACAGTGTTATATTAATAGATTTCAACGTAGCGACATTAGTTGCTCAGAGAATATCAAGTCTGTTCTCATTTTTCCTCCAGACGCTACTAAGCATTTGAGGAGTCACAGTAGCTGTTTACTGTGGTGATTCGATCTATTAATTATTCGATGCTTCGAATCTCTACAGCATTAACTCGGTTTTTCAGATATGTATCTTTAGGAAAAAAGTCGAGTGTCGTGACGTACGGAATGGGCATGAATTTTATCCACGTCTACCAATCCAAATATCTTGGAATATTTCATCAATGAAATTACACATATCTATAGCCCAATGACGGGGGGCCCCATCCTGTTACGGAAAAAAGTTTGGCTGCATTTCTTCTAATTGCGATAAAGCAAATATCTCTCAAAAGTAATCATCCGCATTAATTGTTAACCCCGAGAAAAGAAGGCACCAGTCACTTTGTTATGAGTTTGTGCTCGTCAAACGTTGAATGGTTACCTCACTCAATTTTCATTACAGAATTAAGAGTTTTCTGACAGTCAGATCCTTTCAATTATATTGAATAACCTCTCCTGAAACATGAAATGTTACTTTGTCACTGATTACGATTTTCCGAAGAAATTGTTTATCATTACTGATACAGTCAAGAATGTCTACAGAAAATTTCTTACGAACGACACGATCATTAGGTTTGATTTGGTGACAAATCCTCTATTTATATGCAGTATTTTAAGTCTTCATGAACAACTTTATGAACTGGGAAGTTCTGTCTGCAGATTGCACGGCGAACGGATTTACTGGGATTGCACACAAACACATCTCGAATGGCAAAAACGTTTTCATTACTTACCCATCGCCTACCTGCACTTCATTTGTATAAACGTATCTGGTCTCTCAAAGCTATTTTAATAAATAATTGTTCCGTTTGTGAAGGTTTATTAAATTCATATGCAAATTGCCTTTCGACTTTTCGGAGATTTCGTTTCCCGAAACCAGAGAATGTACACTGCCAGGAAGAAGGAAAAAAAAAAAAAAAAAAGGACAGTTCTATATACACTGGTGTGCAAAAATTAAGGACGAAGTCGAAAAATTAGCATATCAGCTGAACGAAGAGGCAGAGCGGACAGAAAGACCAATCAGGAGATTAAGTAAGGTGATGTACGGTAGCACATGCGCAGATATGCAGGTAGACGTAATGGGGGAGTGTCTGAGTAGTATAAAGCTTGTTGTCGGTGTAAGATCAGTATTTCTGGCAAAGAGATTGCACGCCGTATAGCAGTTAAAATCCCACCGAGTTGCTGCCTCAGCGAGAAATGGCGAATAATCAATCTGTTACACGACATCTGGATGCTTTTACCCGAGGTCGAATCATTGGGAAGTTGGAGGAAGGCCGCAGTGTGACAAGTGTGGCTGCAGAGTTCGGAATTGCTCACAGCATCGTTTCACGACTTTGGAGACAATTTCAAACTACAGGAACAACTATCCGGGGGTTTAGTAGTGGTCGTCCACGAGGAACCACACCCCCAGATGACCGGTATATTGCCTTACAGGCCAGAAGAAACAGGCGGCAGACAGCGAGAGAAATCGCTAGACACACGACACAGGCGACTGGACGACCGATATCGCGTTTTACCGTGGCCAGAAGACTGCACGGTGGTGGGTGGTGGTCTGTTTGCACGACGCCCTGTACGGTGTGTACCTCTAACGCCTGCCCATCGGAGAAGGCGTTCTCTGTGGTGCCGTGAACACCGGAATTGGAGAGACAATGAATAAGGACGAGAACTCTTTACAGATGAGAGCAGATTCAGTCTGAGTAGTGATTCTCATCGCATACTCATCTGGAGAGAGCGGGGAAGCCGCAATCATCTCTCGAACATCATTGAAAGGGACAGGTATGGAGGTGGCGGTGTTCTCGTATGAGGAGGCATCATGCTTGGTAGTCGTACAGACCTTCACATCTTCGACGCAGGTTCAGTCAACGGGACCCGTTATTGTAACGAGATTCTTCTTCCATATGTGCGTCTTTTTAGAGGCGCTATGGGTCCGCAGTTTCTTTTCATAGACGACAATGCACCATGTCATCGCACAGTAGCTGCCGAACAGCTCTTAGAGAGTGACGATATTGAACGTATGGATTGGCCGGCACGATCTCCGGATCTCAATCCCATCGAGCATGTATGGGATTTTCTAGGCAGACGCTTGGCAGCTCGTACCTTACCACCAGTAACGATTCCTGAGCTTCGATTGGCGCTGCAAGACGAATGGGCAGCAATGCCTCAACAACTCATTGACACCCTCATTCTCAGTATGGGCAGACGCTGTGAAACCTGCCTAGCAGTCAGGGGAGATCATATACCCTATTAAAGACCGGATGTTTCTTGCTGGACACCCATCACAGGGATGTTTCGGCCTTCAGTCGCATTGCGCTCCATGCTACTTTTTCAATAAAGCTTCTTTTTATCCCTCTGATTTCTCTTTTAGTAAGTGCTGCTTACATTACTCATGTCCTTACGTATTGGGGATCTTACGGTATTAAATGTGTTGGTTTGGAAAGCTTTTGTACAAAGTTATATTGAAAAAACCATCTCGTCCTTAATTTGTGCACACCAGTGTATACTGTTCTACTGGGGCGATTGGCGAAACTCAAGTTGCGTTTTTCAGGTCTCGAAAGCGCGACTTAGGATATATACTATTAGATTTATATATAGCATTATTCTAACATAGGTATTTTAAAACAAAATCGGACCTTTTCTGAAATGTCAGGTTACTTTTTTAAATATTTCGATTCTACGACTCAAATTATGGCAAAATGCCAAGTTTTTAAAAAAAAAAAAAAAAAAAAAAAAAAAAAAAAAAAAAAAAAAAATTTAGCTCTCAAAAATGTAGCTCTTTAATGTTATTTGAATTTGATATATATTTATTACCTCTTTTTCTATTAAACTTACTCGATTCTTCTTTTCATATTTCGAAATTTAGGTTCATTCCAAATAAAATTCGCCCATTTTTTATGATTTATTTTTAGAACTTGTATTTTTAAATAACTTTTACACATTTTTCGAAAAATATTTTGAATTATAGCCTATAAAAGTTTTGCCATCATCTTAAAGTAGATGTATCTCTAAGCATACCTGCAAAAAAATTAGAGTTTTTTAATACAAAATTTCCTGCATACGTGAATTTACATTTTGGCGCGTTTTGAAATTTGGCGTATTTATTATAAACGATAATAGTGAAAATGTAGTGAGCGCACTTTGTTAAAATTATCTGAAAGTATGAACGATGATTTTTTTTCCGGTTCGTGCACAAAGAAAAAAGGGCAAAGGAAAATAGGTTGCTATAAATTAAGAAGTTCGCCTATTCTTGGCGCAAACTGAAAAAAAAAATTGACAAGATAAATTTTTTAATTTCTCTATAAATTTCTAACCAAAAATTGCAAAATTTAATATCTAGGCATAATTTGAATCGCAGAATCGAAATATGGAAAAACATTGGTATGTTATTTCAGAAAAAGTCCGATTTTGAGTCATAAATCTTTAGTCATTTGACGTCATAAATTTTTAGATATTTTTTTAATATTTATTAGTGATTAAATATTAATGTTTGTGTTATTTGCGAAGCCATAAAAACCATTCCATAGTAATTTTTCAGCAATTCATAAATTTTATAGTCAGCTATCAGCTTTATGAATCATAGTTATAATTAAATAACGCGAAACATGAAATGTTGCTTTCTTTTAATATACATTGGTAGTATAGGATATCTAAATAATATAATTGTAATTACAGTAATAAAACTGTTTTAATAAAATAACAAAATATTGCAATCACATGAAACATGGCAGCATTACTTTATTAAAATCTTGATAAATTATATGAAAATTAACAAAAATGAGTGATGGTAAAACATTTTATTTTACATATGCAATGAATCATTAATATACACGACTATTCTAAAACAAAAAATAAAATACGTAAGAATGAAAAAACATTTTATTTTACACGTCTGGGAGCATGAATAGGTACTGTACAATGAAATAAATGTACTTACAGAAAACAACTTGAAAGTTCTTTTAATATATTTAATAAATTCATGCTTTCTAAACTGCGTCTAGTATTTGTACATATCTCATAAAGTTTGTCATCGTAAAATCCATAATAATATGGATGTAAAGAAATCAGCATTTATAAATAAAAAATTTATACATATTAGGCTGGTAGGAGGCAGTTTTAAATGCACGGTTCTTCATCGTCCCCATTTTTACAAACTTCCTTTATTCTTAGCTGTGTCCATTTTCCTTCATTTTTCCTAATAAATGATGAAGCAGTTCAAATAGTTTTGATGGGTCATACTGGATACAATGAAACATAAACCATACTAAAGAAATTTTTTAATATATTTAATTTAGCTTTACATGTACATATCGTATCATGCTCATCTTAGGTGAATCCAGTCAAGTTATCGTGCATGCAGCTTTCATTTAACATTTCGCATAAATGTTAATGTCAGTTTTAACAATCTAATACTTATTGTACATTGCCAATTTCAATTCTACACTACAATATCCATTAAATTGTCATTTTTCTCAAAAAATGGTGGCAGTTTCGTACTTACATTATAAATGTCTCAACATCTTAAATGTCTCATGATATATAAGATGAAACTAAAAGAGAATATTACTGAAAACAGTTTACAGTATTTAAAGAAAGATGTGCACTTATTAAGATATGGAAAGATGTTCACTTATTATGCAAGTCAAAAGGGCATATTATATGAACTAATAGAATCTAAAATCAGGTACTTCTGCAAAACTTCTAATGATATTGTAATTTGAAAAATAGAAAAATAATCAAAACTGAATATTACAACACTGATAAATATATCAGACACTTTGGAAAAAAATTAAGATATATAGAATTAGATCATATATTACCTATCGAATTTGAAGAAATAAGTAACTGACGTCAAAGCAAATAAATATAAATGAAATCAAAGCAAAATTTCGCGAGTTTAATGAAATCTAAAATACTCACGAAAATACTTGTAAACACATAAGTACATGAAATTGTTTCACTGTTAGAACGTAACAATAAATTAGAAAGCAGACTTCTAATTTTTTTATAATTCGACGCCATTGAATGCAGTTAGACTCTACAACCAAAACAGTTCATTATATTATTTACGTAACACTACAAGCTACGGTACTGTCAAACCACACATCAGACATACATACTACAGGGATCTTTCAAAACTTTCTAGAGGTGGTTATTTGCATCACTCCTGTTCTCTGTAACTGTACAATCAAGCAAATAGTTCCATTAAAAGCTGAACTGTAGGATTTGATTTTTTAATACATTTATTGATGCTTCATTGCTTTCATCTTTTTTAACGCAGAATCCTTTCTTGCCACATATAAATAACAATATTTCCTAGCTTTCAAACTTAAGTCGTGGCATAGATATTACTGAATTAGTTTAGTTAAATATATGCATTTAATACTTTGCATCTTAAAATAGAAACTGAAAACTTCGTGCTACATTTTGCGCTAATTTAATAAAAAAGAAAATTTTCCAGAATCTAAAGTAACGACAAGGACGTAACATGCATTACGAAAATCATGCCTTTAATGGAGTTTTATCCATACATTTTTCTAATCGTAATGCAAATGATTTGAAACTAAGATTAAAATACTTTTCTTAGCCTAAAAATTTGCTCTCAAATGGCATTTGAACTGCTTCACACATATAGAAATCAGCATCTACGGTTGTTGTTTGCACCTGAATGGTGTCGTTGCAAGTTCTTTCTACGATTTGTTTTGGAGCTTGCTTGAAATATGTAATTTCTGTTTTGACGATTTAACTGAGATCTTGAAATATATTTCTTCTTTTCGTATTCTATAGCTCTCTGTGCAGGTTTCAGATCTTTAATTCGTTCTAGAAGTTCTGTAAGAGGAAAAAAATTCGAATTAATAAATATATATTTTAATACTAGTTTGCATACTGTTCTTATACAAAATTAACTTTATGTTCCCAGTAACGAATTATATGAGAAATGTACAATTTAAAATTTCAAATATTAAACATTGAAAAAATATACAAACTGATATCTGAAGGATTATTAAAGATATCCCTTATCCCTGTTTGATTACATGAATATTTAAAATGAAGTTGTTTAGTTTACTAATAAAGATATTACAATTTAAGTTAGTTTTCTCCATCTAATGCATTAATTCAAAAAGGAAGAACTTACCCTTTCTGTTAAAGCCCTCTATTTTTTTTCAATATACGATTCAAAGATTATTACATTAAAATTTTATTTTGATCATTTTCAAGAAGCACATTTTTTTATGCATTTATGACGAAGTTTTCTATTTTATCCTATGCCTTCGGGATGCAAGTGGAAAGCGTGTTCGACTGACAACCAAAAAGTCTGGAACTCGAGGGAAGGCGCCGCTGTTTCTCGTGTTTCCTCCTCCGAAATAAACACAATAACTCTAAACGTTAAATACAGATATCTCTTTTCTAATAAAATATTTATCTTAATATATATATATAATTTCCTTCATTTCAGGAATTATAATAATAATAATATCAATAACTTATTCATCTTCTAAACGTTTTCAGAAATCATTTCACTTAATTACGTGTAAGGCTGGATTCGTATCTTTCCTTTTCGGGGGGGGGGGGACTGGGTTCATTTTAAATATTTAAGTGTATCTATTTAAACAAATCTTCGTAGATATAAAAAATACAAGGCATAAAATGTTTATGAACTTTTCAGAATAGTATCAGAATATACTGCCTCTCGTTCTGTTATATTTATTTATTTTCAATTCTTTTGAGTATTTTACTTTGTCTTCTTATACTCTAATATGTTGCGATTTTTTTATGCTTTTTTTTTTTTTTTTTTTTTTTTTTACTTTGAAGTATAGATTTCAGTCTGTTCCGAAAACTCCCAATAATTTTAATGCAGCTTTTAGCGCGCTGTTTAGTCCCAGGGCTTATTTCGCTTATTTCACTTTTATTATTTTTAACAACACATAAATATGTAATGTATTTCTTTTCTTCTACTGCAGAAAGTCTCTAAACAAATGATCCTGTGTTGGGAAACGAAACAAATGTCATTTTAAACATATTTTTAAAAAATATTGTTGCAAGTATTGATAATTATCAGTTGAATGTATTTAAGATTAAATATATTTTATTATATCAGTTAAATGCATTATTAAATGGTGAAATACTTTAAATTATTAAGAAATGCATTTATTGATTTTAAATCACTATATTTGTTAAATAATATAATAATTGATTGCTAAGTAAGATATCTGAGTGAGATAAGTATAGATATCTGACGAAAAGAACTGTCGAAAACAGCAGTTTCAATGATTGCGTAAAACCTGTATTTTCTTATATAGAAAATTTTGAATTTTGGTATTTCTACAAACCCTCACTTTCAAACAATTTTTTTAAAACGTAAGAAATTACAAAATATGAAGTCTTCGAAATTCTTACATGCGAAGTCATATAGGGGTTCAAATAATTTAACAACTAATTCGCTACTAAATAAATGATAATTAGCTATTTGCAAAATAATGATAAACTGGCTGAACAACTACCACAGCTCAATTTTATGAACCGGTTCGTTAAACTAAAAATATTTTTGGAAGCGGTTTTACCGAAGTATAGCCAAGTGAATGAATCCCACAACTGTACGTAGCTCTCTCTAGAAATATTTACATACAGTCCTCAAAAATTTAATTAATGGTGATTTTGGGTGATATTAACTCAATGTTTTTAACCTAAATAACTCGGATACAGAATATAGTTTTCACAATGGCCCTTTTATCGTCCGTGGCGTATAGAAGTTTATGTTACGTACATTTTTAGTAATTGAAGTTGTCAAGTGTTGCATCATAGTCTGAAAAATCTTCTTTATTTAAATTTATTTCTTAAACTGGAATCATACACTAAATTAGATTGCAAATTAGACTAGTTCTTTAAAACTAGAATAGTTTTCGAGCATTCCTTTATAAGGTATTTCTCCCGCTTTCCTAGCGTGCTATCGTGGTGTAGTGGTTCTGCACGCCATGCCGGTATTCCAGAGGTCTGTGGTTCGATTCCCGGGGAAAGCGGTTGCCATTTTTCACGCTTCCAAAAATATACCTAATGTCTCTACAGTGGCGCCCGAACTAAAAGGGTGTTGGATGATGATTCTCCTCACACAGGTTTTGGCGATTGGGTCCCCTAAAAAACCCCAGTCGCCCTTTAAAAAAGGGGCGTATATAATGTATTTCTCCCGCTTTCCTAGCGTTCCTTCATGGTGTAGTGGTTCTGCACTCTGGGCGGTATTCCAAAAGTCCGTGGCTCGATTCCCGGAGAAGGCGATTGCTAATTTTTCATCTCTCCGGCTTTTCAAATTAACCTACTGTCTCTATACCTTAAAATGACATTTATTTGTGCAACCCTCTTGAAACTTGGCATATACAATGGAATATATTTCCGTCACTTTGTGATTTTATTGCTTAACAATTTCTATTAACTTAACAATTAAACTGAAATAATAATCGACTGAAGCTTAGCAATTACTCTTAACAATAATAATCTTAACAATTAAACTGAAATGATAATCCACAAAGTGAGAAAAAGGCTGGTTCATCAACAGGAGGTAGATCTTTGAAGCCTCTTCCATGCCAGTTAATTGATAATACGCAACAGCCGTACCTTACTACATATAATAGCACAGCTCGATCTTGGCCTGTACATCGCCTCATTTTGGTCCGGTGCATACTATTAAAACGACCTAGTTCTGTCAAACGAAAAGTTTTTTTTATTGCCTTGTACACAATCAAAACAAGCTATTTAATGAACAAAATATAAAGCTTGAAAAATAAGAATATCCTGAATTTTCAGTGTTCTTATTTTCGTGATATATTTTTGAAAGAAAAAGTAATAATATGTAGAGGTTTTCCCATAAAATAAACAAGACTAGGTACATTACAAGAAACCATATAGTTGTAGAAATGAAGAAGGTTATTCAAGAAGAATGAATGAATGGATCGCTGTGATTCCTGGAGACATAACTTCAATCCTACAAAAATTTAATTTTTCAGGGGAAAAAAAATATATTCAAAGAGTAATTGCCTTTAACCATCAAATACTCAGAGTTGATCGTTAAAGGCAATTACTACCAAACACGTATAGGACAAATACATCAGCCGAGTCTGAAAACGTTGCTGTAATATTGCTGTAAAAACGACTGCTGTAATATGTTAGTTGTGCACCTCCCTTTTTGGTTGCAGTCGGCTGCACCGAACGTATGTTACCCAACACACAAACTCTGTTACCCAACTCAGTAAGCTCAGTTTTTTTGTAAAATAAATGTTGGTAAAATGTGCATTTTTTGCTTTATGAAAAATTACTCGTGCGATTTTTACAAAACTTAGCATTTTGGCATAATTTGAGTCATTGAATCGAAAATGGAAAAAAATCGGTGTGTCATTTCAGAAAAAGTTCGATTATGATCCGATTATGATATTACAACAATGCTGTATATAAATCTAACATATATCCTAAGCTGTGCTTTCGAAATATGAAAAACGCAAGTTAAATTTCGTCAATCGGCTCATTAGAACGGAAGATACAGAACTGTGTCTCCTCCTTTCTTTTTCTGTGTAGGTAGAGAGTAATAACAACTCAAAACCAACAGTTAAATCTTTTCTTCGGTGCGAGCGTTGGTTGCACGCTGATCCGTTGCAATTTAAAGCTTTCGGGATGCTGAAAACGACATCTATGAATCCGCGATATCTAACAGGAAAGCCATCAAGTAAACGAAAAAATTTAGAATTACAATATTTTTTTGATTTAGTATTTCTAATAGCAGAATTACTAACCCCAGTTTTTAATGATTTTTTTTAATTAGTCCAAAGGGGCAATTTGCCCTGAAGGACTATTATTTTCGTTTTGACATTTTGCGTTGGTTCATTACAAATGTCCGATTCACTTTTCAAATTGTTACCACCAAATATGATAGCCTTGTATTATATTTAAAGAAATTAAATAATGAAGAATCTGCATAAATGAATGTACGTTTCTGGTATTGTGATAAAACAACGGTACCTAGAGCCATCCAATTTTGAACAACCTAGGTTTCCACTCGAATATGGGCATCTGGTAGCCAATGTTTTATTATCTATTTCATATTTTGTAAAACTTTAACGAATTTTTGATTAACAAACTCAACGATTAGAAAGCGAGCAATGGCAACACCCTACAGGAATAAAAAAAAAATTATCTCCAGCACGCGGAACTGTGTATCGAAAATTCTAAAGATAAAATTTTTTTAACTATTTTGCGATATTGCTGTTGAACTGAATTTCGTGGTTTAAGTGCGAAGAACATGATATTTTAATAAATAAAGCTAACACACAAAAGGTTAATAAACGACCCTTCAGACGTAGTTTAAAATCTGAAACCTTTCAGAATTTTTTAGTATTTTTTTTATTTAATTTTTATTCATTTTTTTCGATTCTTATATACTTATAACAGCCAATTTTTGAATCATTTTAATTTTATTTTTTGAGTACTCTCGCCAAGAATAAAAGAACTACTTACATACTGTTTACTAAGAAATATTTCAAACTACTTCAAATGTGTGAGTTAAAATTTAAAATAGTAAATCTTTCTAATAAAATCTTAACTTCAATTCATAAAGGTACCTTGCAAGAATAAATATAGTTCTACTTTCCAAAAGCTTTTGCATCTTGATTTGCAATGAAAGAAAACACAAATGCCCTTCTTAACTAGAAAAAGTAGGCAAGGAAACAATGATTTTTTACACTATGAATACATTATTAACCTTCCTCATTTAAAAAATCAAATTTCAGAATGAGATAGTTACCTGCTTTGGGAGATATTGCTGACTGGCTTGTATGGTTTTTTATATGTGAGGCAGGATTACGTAGTCTCTTCGGTGCTCTTACATTAACAGTAAGTTGATTCAGTCGTAGGTTGAAGAGTATTCGAACCGAAGTTAATTTACTTTCATAAACGAATAAGTCTCTCATTGCGACTGAGTCAATTTTTTGTAAACTAAGAAAAGATTCATTTATCACTTGTTCAGTTGCTTGCAGATTAAAACTAAGTTTGACCTCGTAAGGAATTTGTAATTCACAATATGATTTATCATAGTCACAAATACTTTCCTTTTTCTGTGCAGGCACCACTTCTTGATTTTCATCTTCATCCTCTTCACAACTTTCTTTATCTTCTTCACTACTTTCTTCATCCTCTTGACTGCTCTCTTCATCTTCTTCGCTACTTTCTTCATCCTCTTCACTGTTTTCTTCATCTTCTTCACTGTGAACATAGTGATGTTCAGTGTTATCTATTTCCTCCTCATTTTGACTGTGAACATTGTAATGTTCAGTGTTATCCATTTCCTCTTCTTTTTCACTGTGAACATAGTAATGTTCAGTGTTATCTATTTTCTCTTCTTTTTCGCTGGGAATATGGTGATGTTCAGCGTTATCTATTTCCTCTTCTTTTTCCGTGTGAACATTGAGTTCAGTGTTATCTATTTCCTCTTCCTTTTCATTTTCCTCTTCATAATCTATGTCTATATTTAAGTCTTTTCCAACCTGATCTGGATTTAAGAAATATGAAACAGAATTAAATTTGAGAGTAAGAAATAAAATCATTCATAACAGCAAAGATAAAAAGCAACTTCAAACTACTTAAGGTCTACGGACATTTCAAATGAAGGCATTAATATATATTTGTTAAAAAATCATAATTTAAGACATATTAATGAAGGAATTTAAAAAAATCGAGTAATAATAGAAATAGAATTTTTAAAGGAGTTCTTTGAACTAATTTTTCACAATTAAAAAGTTTTTATTACACTGATTATTGTTATTACAAACAATTATATAATAATTTGAAAATATAGTACACTGAACGAAATTAGGGACAAAATAAGCATTTCAGGATTTTGCAGGGTAGTCAGATGTATTTAAAAGTACACTTTCAGAAAAACACATCAAATCCATTATAAAAAGTACAGAACTTAGCATTTAGTATTATATATTTATGAGTACACTATTATAAAAAATCCTTTAAGAAAATTCACGCCTCATATAAGGATGCCTTTTTATTTATATGCATTAATTTGAAAAACTGCTGCATTATTGCTAGTTAAGCATAGCAATAAAAACTCGCAGACAACCGTGTTTCCTTGCTTTAAATAAAAACACACCACTGATAATCTTTAAGGCATTAGATGTTTTTGCTAAATAATCGCTGGTAAAAAAAAATTAATAGTTTGGTCTATATGACTAAAATATCAATAAAACTATTTAGATGATACTGCATCCGGTTTAAGCAGGCCTAATCATGTAATAGAAAAGATTTAAAAAAATTAACCTGGTAAAACTATACTATAGGAAATGGAAAGTAAACATTACGCCCTATAAATCAAAATTTCTCAATGTAAGAAAATATAAGCGCAGGGAATACCATAGTCTGTGGCAAGCAAGTGCCTTAGGTTTATCATATGAAGTACATGTAAGTGACAATTAACAGAAATTTAAATTGGTCAACACACATAAACCATATTAAAGGCAATGCTAATTAAAACAGATCTTTACGCTTTCTCCGCTTAGCACTACAGATAATAGTATTAGAAAAGTTCCGATTATTAATCGAAGTTCCCACTTTCTTCAAAAATAGGATGTAAAGATTATGATAATTTTATTAACAGTGAAATTTTGAGTTAAACTTCCTTTCCTATCGCTTCTTAATTTCAACTTACCACTTCCGGCCAGAACGTAGTTCCAGAATCACGTCTGAATGCTAATGAGGAAGAACGGTATTTAACTGAGAAGTTCTACTGTCCTCAAAAGACGAAAAAAAAGGGGAAGATATGTTTGGAGAAAGCTAAGACCTGTCATATCCTTAATTCTGCAGATAATCTACTTATGAGATACTGGAAAACTTATTTGTGTGTCCCCGTACAATACATTTCCTCAGAAACTTCTCCACTTCCTTGATCAGCACACATAAATATTGTAAATTTATATTTTATATTATATAACTGTTGGTTCCGTATCTCATCTGAGTGTCCGCCTCGCCGCCGTGTATGGATGGCAACGCTTAGTGTGTGAGTAACGGGCCAAGAACCCTCCTTCCGACACACACATACACACGGCATGGAGGTCTAACTTCCTACCTCCATGGCACACGGCCTCCTTCTTACCTCCATGGTTTGTTCACGGGGGAAATAGCTGCCTTCACAATGACTAGAAACATCGCTTGCACGGTGGTCCATTCGAAAGCAGCAGGGATCATACGGGTACTATCAAGTTCTACTACGATTTTGTGCATTGCTATATATGAATTTAAATATTTCCTGACTGATCAAGAACTCAAAATCTTGTCTGCATGGTCTCAAACTGCCGTGGTCAGAAGTCTCAGAAGTCAGACGTCAGAAGTGTTCGCTGCAGTTCTGTTGTGAAGTTTATTTATGTTAATCAGCCAATTATTTTATATCCCGAATCCGTACTGTTACTTCTCTCTTTCCGTTTCCCCGCCAGAATTCAAATTACTTCGCGTATTTAAGTGAAGGTTTGAGATTGTTTAGACAGAACGTGTTCTGCCTGCTGAAGGCCACGTTACTAGTTTACTAGTCTAAGATAAGAATTCCTGTCTTCGGCGTTGCTTTATTCTTGTCGATTCTTTCACGCGATGTAAGTTTAAGAGCAAACATATTTAAATTACCTTGCGTAGCCTTTGTCTCAGTTCTACCACTCATGCCCTGCAGCGAATCCATGAAGTCATAATTCAGAACAAACCGCAGGGCTACCAGACGGCTTTTATATCGATAGATTTGCAAAGTGCGTTCGATACCCTCTGGAGAGGCAAGATGCCCAAGAAATATCTATCAAGTCCTGGACAACTATCTGGCAGACCGGCAACTGATGATCTCTAACAACAGTAGTACTGTTTCAATAACACAAGTGAGAGGATGTCCACAGGGGTCCTGTGCAGGGCCTCTGCTATGGAACCTCACCTTTAATAAAGTCTTAGAGGCAAGGTGGCCACAACATACTGTGTTAGTTGCATACGCGGACGACGCGGCATTACTGGTCAGAGGCCGCACACGCGCTGAGCTTGAAGCCCATGGCAGTGAGTCATGCACTATCTTTGCCAACCTCTGCGAAGAGCTAAAACTCAAAATATCCACCACAAAGTCCACTGCTATCATCTTTCCAAGAAAGGGTACAAATCCAACACGTAGCCCATGTATCAAACTACAAGGCCGGAATATTAAGGTCGTAAAAACTTTAAGATACCTTGGGGTAATATGGGACCCAGGTCTGACTTGGCTTCCGCATATCCAGGCACAAAAGATTAAAACATCTGCAATTGCCAGGAGATCACGACAATTCCAAGGCCGGAACTGGGGACGGAATCCCCACATTCAAAAGGTACTTTATAAAACTGTAGCTGAGAAGGTGGCACTCTATGCGGCAGCTATATGGGCACAACCCATGACCGCACGCAAGGTTAAGCAACTCCTATCACTACACAGCGCCCATTCGCCATAGGCTTATGCAGAGCCTACCGCACCACTGCAACTTATGCAGCACTCACCTTGGCAGGCATCATACCACTTCATATCCAAGCGGAGCTAGAGGCCACATATACTAAAATAATACATCTACAGAAAGACGCAACCTTTGCAGGCACCTTACATAGCCCTGCAAATTACGAACATCCATGTACTCCTCTCCACACGCACCCAGCACACAAGGGACTTGGCATTCACACTATCCTCAAACCGTCACGAAGTCAACCAGAAGGAAACCCTAATATGCACGCGTTCTACACAGATGGCTCGAAAACTGCTGAGGGTGTAGGTAGTGCCTTTATATACTACAGGCAAGGCCATGCTGCACACCATTGGAAAGGGCACCCTCAATCCAAATAATAGCATTTTTCAAGCAGAAGTAGTTGCCATAACAGCTGCCATTGAATACGTGGCGCTCAACAACATCACACATGTGCAGCTTTATACAGACAGTATGTCGACACTGCTGCTTGCTTTGACAAACATAGTCACGCCTCCCCGCTGATCATACGACTGCAGCATATCCTAAAAGATAATCGGCACGCACATGTTGACCTAGTATGGATTAAAGCCCATGCAGGTAACATGGGTAATGAGACAGCGGATGAACTCGCTAAAGAGGCTGCTTCGAACCAAAATGCCAGACCGATATCAGTATCAGCACCACCATCTTTCCTCAAAAGTCAACTGCGAAATGCCGCTATCCAGTGGTGGCAAAGAGAATGGGATCAGGGCGACACGGGAAGGAGAGCGCATAGCTTCTTGCCAAAAGTAACCACGGAGCGCCTTATGGCAATTGCTCCCCTTACCAACTTCATTACTGGTCATGGTCCCTTCCCGGATTACTTCTACCGCCGCACCATCTCAACCACGGATCGCTGTGTTTGCGGGGGTGAGGGGTCACCGGACCATTATATCTTTCAGTGCCCACTCACGGAACAGTTCCACTTCCCGATACCAGCCAATATCTCAGCATTTCACAAGTTCCTAGCCAAAAACAGAGCGGCCATAAATAAAATCTGCAAAATAATAACCACCATTGCAGCAAATGGCCAGGACCTCTGTCAACCAGAGTAATAGGGCTTACATGCATTACTTGCACTGACATATGCACTCTAATGCTCTACCATCTAATCTCTGACTGCATAGGGTGCAGAAGAAAATTGAACACCATTTTTAGGTGTTTAATTTTCTTCTTTTGTTATAACCTATTAAGTGGGTTTTTTTTTCCCTTCGTGCCTGTTAATTCAAATGTTAATTCAAATGTACTTCAAATGCCAGATGTTAAACAGTTGCCCCTGTATGGCCATGTATCCACACTTATAACTATTAAATAAACTCCAGGGGAGGACGCGAGACATATGCCTGTTAAACTTCAGGCGTCCCCGTCTTCCGTCACCTGTCACCTGATACTTAGATTAAGTTTTAAATTTAAATTCTACTTTGAGTTACCGCCATAAATGCTGGCTGATTTGTAAGCACCTTCTCTTCATACTTAATTTTAAATAAAAAGGGTTTTTTACACCCTTCTTGCGTTTCTATTTTCATCCCAGACATAGCGATAAGTCGTTTACAGTCTTATTGGGGATTTGCCACAAGTTACATTTAGTAAAAGGCATATTCTTTACACTGTATAATATATCACTTAACAATATATGTCACTGTATGATGCCCTACAAGACAAAGTAATCTCTCCTATTCTTCCCTCCTAGTTACACCTATTTTTTACTAGGAATATAAACATATGATTTTTCAGTTTGAGGTTTCTGTGACGATATTGAATGGAATTCTCTAGAACGTGTTTTAGCGGTAGTCTAGAAGTAAGGAAAAGTATCAAAGCATAAATGAAAAAATGGTACGTCAAGCCTGAGTAAAGGCGTGAGGTACCCTGTTTCGAATTGTACGTTTTTGAATAAATTTCAATTGGAAAGATAGATGTGTGAAGAAACGGCATGGATTTCTCTTCAAAACTACTTCAGAATCATATGTCCATAGCACGATTAGGGCGGAAATGAATTAGCGAACGTGCGAAATTTTTGCTTTAACAGATGCACTTCTAGTATATCTAAGCTTTCCTGCCAAATCTTTCAATCGCAATTTCCAGTTTGTATTGAATATACATAACAATGAATGTATAATATTTATTCTACCAGAACGGAAAGACCAAGAAATAGATGAATGAGATAGTCTTTGTCTTCATAAAACATATTAACTAATACTTTCCAAATTACATAAAAGAATTACTTTATCTGGATGGGTCAAAATAAGAATCACAGTATGATCTGATGTCTTCTAGTTTGGTACCCTAACGTGAAGCCCACAACAATAGCCTGCCAGAAACAAGGAGATAGCACAGTAAAGAAGCAGAATTTTCGGAACCTCAGATAAATGATTTTCTAGAGTCAGCAATCCAATCTTTATCATCAACCAGGAATATCTAAAGTGGTCCAATAGTTAATGGCAATTTTTACCTCTCCCTTCCCTGTGATAACAGCAAGCAAACTCTTATCGATGAGCACGAAAAGAGAAAACCCTCTGCAGTTTTCAAACTCAAATCTGACGATTTAAATGATCCAGTTCTATTCAAGCTAATTCTGTAAATAGACCCTTTCATTTACCGTATATTTATCCAAATGTCAAAGTGTAACAATTAGTGTTTAGATCATTATCGATTTGGGAAAATTCTTTATGTCTTCTTGTAAAATTTCAAAACAGTTGTTTCATATATTTTCTTATTTCAGTGATTCAAATGGAAATACTGCTACAAAGAACTACGTTTGTTGTGCAGATTAGGCAGGCAGTGCAATAGTATTAAAAGAAAAATAAATACTTTCAAGACTTTTAGCTAACGAACTGGTTTATAATAAAAATGCTATGATTAGCAGTTATCAGTAATGCTTGCTTAAATTCACAGCTGTTCAAAATAAGCTCAACAAATTTTAGAAATGAATGAATTTTTAATTTGAACTCAAGGTAACAGCGTTTTGTTAAATGCAGCAAGTAACTTAAAGAGAGCAATATTTACCTTTTCATGTCACAAATGAGCTTTCTTTCCTTTCCACTGCGTAAAGTTATCACGTAAAATTAATATTTCTCATCATCCTGATGTTACAATACCTTTGTTTCACAATCAAAAGTGGGCAATCCTGCCTAAGGCTGAAACGGAGGAAACTGTAGGAAATACGTCAATGTCAACAGACGCAAACAAAAACTTCAAAAAATTCAATTATAAATTCTCCATGGAATGACGTCACTTAAATTTTAATTCAATCAGTCTAAAAGTCATCTTGAGTGGTTGATTGTAGAGATAGGAGAGAATAAGACTGTCAGATTTCCATCTCTAGGAGTGCTTTTGATGAAACACAATAGCTTCGGTGAACAACCTCATGTGGTTTGCCGTAACTGAGTACTCTAATATTAATTTATATTCTATCAAATTCGTTCCTTCGACTTGAAATAAATCATCCTAACTTTTTAACCGGAACAGTATTCTAGTTTAATAGATTGAGGTGATCGTTTCCATTAAATATTCTTCTGGAAACTATTTCTAAATTTGCTGTATATTACATTCACTTACTTACGAACTACATGTTTTTGCAAACTATCGCTCCGCCGCCTAAATCCTTTTCAGAAAATCATCATTCTGCACTGATCATCATTTAATCCCATTTTTGTAACTAAGTCAAGAAGCAAAGTCTTAACTGCATCTTTTTAAGACTGGTTTGGTTTATTGAGATTAAGGCAAAGCCTCGAGGGCTATCTGCCTAAGGGATTCAGGGAGAACTTTCTAACGGAAACTGGCTCGTGTACACGTTATACTAGGGGAAAACTACGAAATAACCCATGCAGCCAAGCCCGTTAGCGGGATTCGAACCGAATTACCAGTGCTCAGCGACTTTACGGCTCGACCGCTGGTGGGCGCATCCTTTTAAGAAGTATAGTTGGTATCCATATTGCGAATATTTGTAAGAGTAGCGGATTAATTTTTGACGCTTGCATTAAGTTCTGAATAATGATGTTTCATGTGAAGAATGTCAAGTATTTATATCTTGGAAACTTATGAAAAGATCGAGAAGCGAAAACATTGCTAAAAAGGCGTATTATTAATTTAATAATTTATTCTACAAATCTAATATTAAAACTTCAAGTCAAGGAAAAATAGGATCTCAATTTTAAAGAAGGACAATTATTGCAGTCTTTTTACGGTCCTAAGCAATACGTTTCTGGGATATTTTTGAAGATAAACACGATATGTATACAATAAAATAACAGAAATTAATACCATAAAAGACAAAAATAATAAATTTTAAACTTTTCCAATAGTTTTAATTACACACTTATCTTATGCTTACCGCGATTAATACAAACGAAATTTCATATATTAGTAGATTTATAAAAATGTGTTTACTTGTGCCATTACTACTGTTTCATTTAGAACATTAAGTCATTAGAACGAAAGATACCAGAATGAAGGAATGACACTTATCTAACAAGAGATTAATATTTTCTTACTATCAATGCAATAAAAATATATAATTAAACCATTTTCAACTATGCCTTAAAGTCTGAATAAATATTAGCTTCTTTGAGAGAAATTTCGTTAAACAATGCCGTTCAGAAATAACTCGAATAATCATGAAGGCGACTGCCTATTAGAATCACTAAACAGGGCAGAAAAGATAGGGAACTACGATGTAAAATATTAATCTTTGAAGATTTGAAAAGGCTATCGAATATTTAAAATTAAACAAAGTTCAGCTTTATTTTATTTATCTCTAAGCAAAAGTATGACAGAATTCTGAAAGCCAATCTCATCCTCGGAAGCAAAGTGTTCTACACATGTCCTCCATTATAGTGGTTTTAAATATGAGAAAAAAAAAGGCACCTTACGAACAAAATTGAAGTTTATAACTGTTAGTGAATATTCGGTTTCAACATCGTTTTCACATTGTATTAATTCATCAACACCGTATTAATTTTTAGATTGAATTTTTTCATTTATTTACAACTTATGAAATTTGCGACTGCAATTCAAATATTTAAAAACTTACTGTACTTTTCATTTTCCAGATGGACTGCTCACCTTACTTACAAAAGCAAAAGTATTTCTTTATGGCTTGTTAAAAATTGTAAGAGCGTATTATAATTTACTAACATTTACAACTAACAGCGAGCAACAATTTTTAATTTAATGTATATTAGAAATGCGGCACATACCGTTATTATTATTTACACACAATGTTATATGTTAAATTTTCGTAATCGAAGCTACAAAACTAGAAACATTGCAAATATTAGGTCAAATGTTTACTTTTTATTTTCAAATAATTTGAAACAGAGGATAACGCATATAAGTTTTTGCAACAAAATAATTTATCTGTCATACTTTTCCTTTACTTAATTCACTTACTACCTGTCAGTTACATCTCAAAAAGGGAAGTAAGCACCCAAAACTTAACAGCAGAAGTATTACTTAATTGTTATGCAAATAATTCTAAAAGTATTTTTAATCAAAAGTATTTTTTTTCCTTATGTAAATGCAATACTAGTTATATTTTATAGAAAATGCAATTACCAGGCAAGTTGACCAGCAACCAGTCATTCACTTCCTGCGTTTCACATTCCACTGGTTCATTAGAATTTCCAATAAGTCCACCAAAAATGTACTTCGCTAAAGAACTGAACATGATGTCTCGATTCTTCAGAACAGGGGTATTAGAACAAAAGTGCAGTCAATAGAATCAGCTTGAAAAATGGGTCTGGAAAAGAAGAAAAAGCACTAGTATAAAAATCAAAAATAATAATTTTTCTCTATTATTTAGTGTGTGCGATTTTTGGAGTGCCTGTTAACTTTATAATACGGCAAAATCAAAGATTTGTAGTAGAGTTATTTCAGTTATGTAAAACTATATTTTTAGTCCGTAATAAATAACTTCTAATAGTAAAAAAAAGGTATATTTAGGTAGTCACAATCTGCAGATTCAGCATGACAACTCTATTATGGCATACATAATAGCTGAATAGCTAGATTTTCCAAGTTATATTAACTGATTTCACTTTGATAAGCTCTTAATTTGTACTTTTGAAGGGTCCTGTTCCAGTCTTACAACTTATACGTCTGAAAATACACTCGTAGATTGCATTTTGTGTATTTTGCGACTTACTTATCTAACTGTAACATTAGAACACGTCCACTAATTCTACTGCGATAAGAACAGCAGGATTGTTTCTGTCTTGGGAAGGACCTTGGACATCTTATGGGTCACAGAACGATTTTCGTCCCAATTTTAAAAAAGAATTCTTCAGGGAACATATCCAAGGGTCTCTCGTCCATCTTTCCCTACAACCAAAACCTTTCGTGAGGACTTTCGGTTCTTCGTAAATTTTAAGTGCGCCTATGATGCAAAGATACTATACGCTTACACGGAAGTCTTCTCCAGGATTCAAACCCGGCCAAAACGATACAGCAGCCAGCATCATTAACTACTACACCAGTCAAGGCAACCGATTGTTTTTAAAATCAAGGCACTTTTAAGCAATATATATATATATATATATATATATATGTTTTCACGGAACCACAGTATTTCAGCGGCTTTTTAGCGTACGAACTAGGATTTTTCTTTTAACCTTTATATATATGTAATAATAAAATTCCATAGTCGTGAATACACTTAAAATTCTAACTGTACGTTCTTTTCATTTTTAATGGCGACGGTCTCTTATTTGAAAGTACGTGGAATTAAATCTACAGCCCCGTAGTCAAGTTGTTTTTCCCGCCTTTTCTACACGTACAGTTATAGAATGTTCTGGAAATATTTAAAGCGAACTGGATTGCCTGACGAGGCTGACGTCATTTCTTGGAAGCTCCGCCTTTCCAGAGGCTATAAAAGGACTCGCAAAAGAATATCGGGGTTTTTTCTTAAATGTCCCGATGCAGTAAACTTCATACAAAAAGCTATTAGTAATTCTTTTTATCTCCGGATATCTGATTTTGTAACTGGTATTTCTCCTGAATAATAATAAATGGATCCTGTTTTTTTTTTTAAACTTATCGTCTGATAATTTAAGCTACGACTAAAGCTGGTACATCACACACATATATATATATACCGTATTTATTCGTGTATCTTCGCCCCCCCTTCTTTTACTAATTTTTACTGTGCAGAAATCTAGAGGGGAAAATTATACGATTAATGACTCGGTTACAGTAAGAGCATAACAAATGCATAATATTCATAAATAAACTACTGGTAACTGTCAAAATATTCTTTATTTAAATTAAGTTACATTCCAATGAGAAGGCACAATAATATTTACATTTCAGTATGTAATAAAATATCTTCATTTCTACTTCCTTAGATCCTAAATTTTGCCCGTTCTTTTTCTTCTTATTATTTTTATTTTATTTATTTATTTATTAATTATTATTATTATTATTATTATTGCTGCTCCCCAGGCCTCAAAGCACCCCCCAAGGGCCAAGCAAAGTCACTGAAAAGTCAAGTAGTGAACCACTCAACACTGGTAGTTCGCGATGGGTTCGAATCCTTGTAAGCAGGCTGGTTGCATAGGCGTTTTTGTGGTTTCCCGTATGTGCAACGCGAATACACGCTAAGTTTGCCTTAGAATGTCCTCCACGGAGGCATTCCTGCCCTTAGGCAGATAGCCCTTGTGTGCTTTTTCATAAACAAATAAATCAATCCTAGGCCTCAAATCATTTGATGCTGCTGGAACTGCTCTCTGTGCCCGTTGGCTAAAGCTTACAAGTCGTCGCCATCAACACCGTTTCCTTCGTCGCCGTTCATTCAGTCTTCCCGCATGCGATAACCTTCAGAATCATCAATAACATCAGATATTCCCGTTTTCTTTGAACTTTTCACTATGATTGCTTCAACAATCAGAACATTTGCACCCAAAATCCACGAAAAAATCAATTAGTAAGACGAAAACAACCACTACGTGGGCGAATTCATTTTTAAAATTTAGGAGAGCTCGCTTTCTGAACGCCTTGAAGAAGGGAATACTTTATTTGAATACTTAAAATCTTTTCAGAACTTACGGCTAAAATTAACATTAAGTCATTAAAACGAAAGATACCAGAATGAAGGAATGACACTTATCTAACAAGATATTAATATTTTCTTACTATCAATGCAATAAAAATATATAATTAAACCATTTTCAACTATGCCTTAAAGTCTGAATAAATATTAGCTTCTTTGAGAGAAATTTCGTTAAACAATGCCGTTCAGAAATAACTCGAATAATCATGAAGGCGACTGCCTATTAGAATCACTAAACAGGGCAGAAAAGATAGGGAACTACGATGTAAAATATTAATCTTTGAAGATTTGAAAAGGCTATCGAATATTTAAAATTAAACAAAGTTCAGCTTTATTTATTTATCTCTAAATCTCTAAGCAAAAGTATGACAGAATTCTGAAAGCAATCAATCTCATCCTCGGAAGCAAAGTGTTTTCTACACATGTCCTCCATTATAGTGGTTTTAAATATGAGAAAAAAAAAGGCACCTTACGAACAAAATTGAAGTTTATAACTGTTAGTGAATATTCGGTTTCAACATCGTTTTCACATTGTATTAATTCATCAACACCGTATTAATTTTTAGATTGAATTTTTTCATTTATTTACAACTTATGAAATTTGCGACTGCAATTCAAATATTTAAAAACTTACTGTACTTTTCATTTTCCAGATGGACTGCTCACCTTACTTACAAAAGCAAAAGTATTTCTTTATGGCTTGTTAAAAAACGTAAGAGCGTATTATAATTTACTAACATTTAAAACTAACAGCGAGCAACAATTTTTAATTTAATGTATATTAGAAATGCGGCACATACCGTTATTATTATTTACACACAATGTTATATGTTAAATTTTCGTAATCGAAGCTACAAAACCAGAAACATTGCAAATATTAGGTCAAATGTTTACTTTTTATTTAATTATTATTTATTTTTTATTTTAAGGAGAAAAACAGGCGAGTGAATACGGTATGCGTATGTGTTGAATGACCAAAACGTTAGATAAGGTATAATGAGGCATATATATATGTATATCGACTACAACGGAATGCTATTTCAGTCATTTAACACACGCAAACCATCAGCGTTATTAACAGATCTTCCGATATACCGATTCAATTCAAAAACAAATATTTCAACTCTCAAAATTCGAATTTTGTTTATTTCGTCACTGAACTAAAATGCCACAAAACGAAAAGTATGAAAAGTTTAAAACTCTGTTACACTAATAAAAAATGTACACTGCGGGGGAAGGAAAAAAAAAAAAAACAATTCTATATCTGCCGTTCTACTGGATCAATTGACGAAATTCAAATTGCGTTCTTCATGTCCCGAAAGCGTGATTTATATTAGATTTATATATAGCTCCATTCTAACGTAGTTATTTTGACACAAAATCGGACTTTTTCTGAAATAAGATACCAACTTTTTTTTCCATATTTCGATTCTACGACTCAGATTATGCCTAAATTTGAAATTTTGTAAAATTTGGTGAGAAATTTACAAATTTATGTTGTCGCTTTTTTGTCAGTTTGCGCCAAAAATAGCAAAAGCGGGAACAAAGCCACAATCGTTCCTTTTTTCAAATAATGTTTTTTACATTATATTTTCAATTATAATTGTTATTATTTTAAGTAATTTTTTTCTTTTTCTAATTTCATTTTAATTGTTTAAGTTGCATGGTTTCTTTCGAATAACTGTTTTAAAATTTATATTTACCCATTCGAACTGCGTAGTTTAGATAAAAGGTGCATCGTTTATTTTTTTCAAATAGTTTTCTTTATAATTTTTGTTTTTTTGGATCATGGTTATTATTTTAGGTAATTTTTAAATTTTTATACTTTTATTTTAATTGTTTTGTTGCATTGTCTCTTCAGATAATTGTTTTTTTAAAATTTTCTATTTATTCATTCGAACTGAGCATTTTAAATATATTATTAATATAAATTTTTCCAGGATTTTATTTTATTTATTTGATTGAGTTTCTTTCGGAAGAATACTTTGTGTCCCAGACTACGATGCATCTGAAAACTGAATATATTAAAAGAGAAAATGCAGTAAAGCACAGTTAACACGCCTTTCAATGTTCCGTTCAGAAAAGATATTTAAATGAGAAAGATGTATAACCGACATTTTAACTTAGGATGACGTGCATGTACTGCTTTAAATATCTTTAACATTATGCTCATTGCTTTACACAGTTTTATTATCCTACATTTAGTTTCTTAAAATGTTATTCATATTTTAGTCAAATATTTTATTTTTGAAATCGCAAGAATCAAACATCATAAGATTAAAAAGTTTTAAATTAAAAAAAAAATACTAAATTTTATGCAAAAATTAATTTTTTTCTTCTTAATGGCTTGCTCTCTTCAGACATTCTGGAAGTATATTACATAGCATCCAACTTTTCGAAGCATCTTGGTATTTCTGACATTCATTTTAAATTAAGTTATCGCCTTCCATTTCATTAAGGCCCACAAACGGCCGAGCAGTAAAGTCGCTGAACACTCTAGTTCGCTTCGGGGTTCGAATCCCGGCGAACGGGCTGGTTGCATGGGCGTTTTCGAGGTTTTTCTCATTGTAAGGTGTACGCCAGCTGGTTTCCCTTAGAAAGTCCTTCACAAAGGCATCCCTCCCTTTTAGGCAGATAGCCCTGCTTTGCCGCAACTTAATAATCCGATTCAATCCATTTCATCAGTATTTTTA